CCCTAGCCAGCCCCACTAGGCATGGAAACTGTGCTGAGCAGCTCAAACAGGCAAGCCCCATGAAACAACCCTATTTTTGCGAAATAGGGTTTCACGACTGTGGATTGGTTTGCAGCGTTGTTGATGTTGTCTCAGGCCCTAGCCAGCCCAAGAAGGTCAGGAAACTGCGCCTTGCAGCTCAATTAAACATAGACCACCCCCCCTCAAGAGAACACTTTTTTTTTCAAAGGCATTGGAGCCACCCACCCGCTCACTCGTGCCAGCCAAGCACAAGCAAACCCCGATCAGCCTCGTCCCTCCCAAGGGGTGCGTGTGCTGGTTGGGGGTCAAGAAGACAGATAGACAGACAGACAGAGAGACAGAGAGACAGCCCACCCAGCCAGCCTGCCAGGAGCCAGGCAGGCAGACGAGGTGACTGAAATTATTCAAATTAAACGAGGCGAGGTGAATAATTTCAAAACATTGAATTAAGACGAGGTACGAGGTGAACGAAATTAATGAAATTAGTTTAATTCACCCAGATCGTTGGCATCCAATCCACCGGACTACAGGGGTGCCCAGGGAGGGACGATCCCTGCCTCATGTCCGGAGAGGACATGACCGAAAAGGGGAAAAGGGGAGCGACCCAAAAGAGAGAGAGGGTACCTTTCTCCCTCCAGTTCGTACCCCATAGAAAGTTGCACATGTGACAGTCGACCCCATCAGAACACATGGTACGAACACTGGCACATGTGACCAGATGTGACAGCTACGAACCACATGCTACAAACGTTCGGCCTGTTCCCGGAGGGTTCTTCGGACACTTCGCTTCAAGTGACCTCAACCCCGCGTGAGGCGGCCTGGGCCGTGACTTTAAGGTCCCGTTGGGGCTGGGGCTGGAGACGGCGTGGTTGGTCCTCTTGGGCCCTTGGGCTGGTTTATACCATTTATACCTGCTCGTTGTTCATACCGGATCGGGAAATGAGATCATCCTAGTGGTATGTTCACTGAGATGAGCAGTGTGTACTGTGTGTACTGTGCTCTGCTCTCATCCTACCGGCATCTAGGAACGCGTCGAAAGGTGCTTAGTCTCCTAGTCTCACGTACCCTGAAGCAGCGTGAGGGTTAGCTCATTCAGGCTCCATGATCAGCAGTCATGCTATGTCCTGACATGAACAAGGATATATTGTCAATTGTGTTTTGGCAATCACTCCTGTTGAAGTTTCTTTCTGTAGATATATTCAACCCTTTCAAGCATCCAGACATCAGTCAACGTGTTTTGGGCGGCATCCCGACCGTGGTTTGTTAGTGCCAAAATGAAACGTGTGATGTGAGTCAAAAACCAGCGGCCTGAACCCCCTGCCAAAATCTCCTGCGAGTTTTTTTGCAGACCATCCAAAATCTATAATCAGGTATTTCGAGTGGTAGGGATGTATCGGAGGCTTCCATAGGGTCTTCAATGTGGTGAAGGTATGGAACTATTCCATCTACAGGCTTGGCCTGGTGCCTGGTGCCTGGCGTCCGATCGGTCAAGAGGTGGTCTACATGGCTCCGATGAAAGCCTTGGTGCCGTGGACGAGACGACGAGAGCGCGCGGGGGACGGCACGAACGAGTTCGGCTTGGGGGAGGAGGATCACAACAGGGGTCGCCCAATTGAGATGCTGGTTTGTTTTAATGTCAATGATGAGTTCAATTACCTGAAGTAAGAGCTATGGGTGAACAAGAGCTATGGGACTATTTTGCGTGACTATTCATATCTAAGTGTAAGATGCATATGATGATATTTATATAGATATTCAACTATAGATACCATGACCATCCGAAGGGTGTCCAGTGGAGATCCCTGAGTAGAGTAGTCCAGCCAGGTCACCCAGACAGGATGGTCTGGTATGTCCTGGTCCTGGTATGTCATATTGTGTATGATAGACTTGCACCATGTATTATCGTGTATTGCCATATATTACATTGCCATATTTTTAAGCTGTGGCCACCCAGTGGCCCAGTGGGCGGCCCTAAGACTCTCCACTGGTCCAGCCTTTGGACGTTTGACTTGGGGTCCGATTCTCAGGGTTGGGCGAAGTGTTTGGCTTGTCACCTGGAGCTCTCTGGATTGATGGCCACCAGAAATACATACGATGTACTGTAAGCTTTTGGTTTATCAATGTGATAGCCTTGATTGGCCACCTGCAGCAAGAAAAAACATGTTCTTTTCTATGTTCGATGTTTTTTTTAAATGTTTTTCTTGCTGAAAGATCACATACTGTACTCGCTATGCTTGGCCGCTTGGGCACACTTGCTACGGATCCCTGGATTTTTAGGGTCTTCGCTGGTGGATCCTGACGTTCTAAGAGCCTTTTTGCCCCGCTTCCCTCGAGATTTTTGAACGGGTACTGACAAGGTGGCCGGGTCTCCCCGGCAATAGGTATAGAGGGTTCCGAGTGCAGACTGTTCCGAGTTCCGAAGCCTTCCAGGGGGGTCCCATCAGGTGGGTAGGTCCCATTAGGTGGGTCATGGTGGGTCGCTTGAGCTAAGAGGGGTCGACAGGCTTGGATCTTCTGACCGACCACCCCTCTTCCGCCTGCCATGTCTCGACACCCCACGAGGTCGGGGAGGTCGCTGAGAAGTTCCAGCAACGTCCGGACGCCTCGTTGAACCACCCGGGTTGGGCATGGGAGCGGTGCCACGGAGGGAGCCCAAGGGAGCGGTGGGTGGGTCGCCTTCTGAACCAGACTAAGAGGGTCAGGGGCTGCTAGTTTGACGAGTAAGTTGTTTGATGCGTAGTTTTATCCCTTAATTAAGTGTATTGGATATGGTTGTAGATTGACATATATGTTTTTGAAGCTGAAGAAAAGACCATGAATTTACTAAACTGCAAAACTGCTACTAATATTGGTAAGAGCGTTTCTTCAGTTTTTCATCCAGGTGCAGGGTCCAGTCGGGACCATATCAATGAAGCTAAGCAGCTGTGGGAGGCCTTGTGGGACGCCGTGTGCAAGAGACTAATAATGCCCAAACACTCCATGTATAGCATATGTACCTACATTAGGGTGGTTGAAAAGGGGTCAATGTATGCAAAAGATGTAAATATGCCAGTCCCATTGGTCATGTCTGGGAATGTGCTGTCGCACCCACGTTAGTTGTTGTTGGGTCTGAGTCTTTTGAGTTTATCGCTGACCGACCGGGTGGTGCTTCAGAACTGCTTGGTGGTTGACAGACCAGTTCGTCTCCCTCCTTTCATCTACAACGGTGGCAAAGTCTACGAAGGCTTAGGGGGCGGACTAGAACACACAGACTTTTTGATTGAACAACTATCACGGACGCCTGACTGTGCCACAATTAGCAGTATAGGACCATCGAGTCAAATCAGTTCATGGATGTTCATCGTTCATTTGGGTGTATTTTTTAAATATAGGGAGACCTCCAACCAATGGGTGTTGGATGGGTTTTGGTCTATGTTCATGCTTTCATTTACTACACTCCCATTTATTGGAACACTTCCAGCTGTCATACTGGAATCACTTCAGGCCTAGCAGCCATGATGAGTCCCAGCACGCCATGTAGATTTTGGTTGGCAGTTTCTACCCTCGCGACCTTATCCAACTGACTTCATTCTGATCCGGCTTCTCAGAACGAATAATGAATTGGACCCGACAATGGCACCTACACAACAGTAGGTCCAAGCACCTTCTCAGAGGGTGCGGTATGGATGCCCCTTCGGTATGGATCTCATGTTACGAGGTCTGCGCATCTTCCAAAACCCCCACGATGCCACGAACACAGTGACCGTGGCACTCGAGTGCCGACGGGATGAACGGCATCCACCGACCTCGGTCGACGGTTGTCGAGACCACGGTCAGGGGAGACACGCCGAAAGACCAGGCGTGCATGCCCAGGATGGTCCACTGGCCGGCGACGTTGTACATGATGTGTACATGTAGACCACCTAGAGTCTAGAGCTGGGCAGCTGAGCACAAAACAGAAGGCATGAAGGACCTCCACAGATGGATTGATTAAGATTGGTGATAGTAACGGCCGCATGAGCTCCCCATTTGATGAGATAACCACCTTGCTTCGCCACCGGCTGCCTTCCACGGGCCTTCCCAGGCTTGGGGCCTTTGGGTGTCAACGTGGCGGAACTCACCGGGGACAGCGGCATGGGAACGACGTCGTGACGTGAGGGAGCGTTTTCAAGAAAGACGGTGGGCGGCACGAGGTTTTTTGTTCCACCTGATGAACCAAGCTTTTTGGGTTCCAGTCCTACCTTTTGAGAAGGTACGGCACGACCATCACCCTCGAGTAGGACCCAGTCTAAGCACATGCGAACACTGAACGGCAGGCATAGTCTTGGAAAACCAACGTATGCATTTATGGTCTTGGGGGGGTTTACTTGGGAGTGCAAGAACAGGAATTTTCCCTCCACTTGTCATGCAGTTTGGTTTTCAATCAGGCTCCAGTTTTCATGCGGTGTATGCCGGACATGATGCACTGACCATCAATGTGTAGATTACAGATACCTATGGATCCACATCCCCTTTGAGAAGGTCATTGGAGACACTGTCATGAGTTATGATCTGTTATGTAGGTTTGGAGGGTCCAGTCGTACATTGTGAGAAGGTAGGACTGGATCTCTATAGGGGATGTTGCATGTGAAAACAGTCACCATCCAGGGTGTGCAAAAACCGATGCTGCCGCAATGATGCCCCATCCTGCGGACGCAATGTTCCCGGACTCGTCCGCAGGACATGAACCTGACCAAGAAGGAGCTGGAGCAGGTGGCGACGACTTGTATTTGGACCGCTCGACTTGGAGCAAGTCTTTGCAAGAGGTGACAATTCTAGATCGTGAGTGAATGACCCTGGGTTCCTGGGTTCCAAGTACCTTCTGAAGATGCTTAGATTATATATCTGATGGTGGTATATTTACCTACATTGGGTATATTGACCTACATTGGGGTGATTCCAGAGGGGTCAATGTAGGCATATATATATATATATGACAGACATGGAGTGTCTGGGATATAGGTGATGTGTCTAACGATCGTCATCATGCTCAGGCCATCCATCATGCCGCCCCAGAAAGACTCCTGAAATCAAAGAGCATCCTAACGGTTCAAGCGAGTCCCATGGATGGTGGATGACTCTTGCTTATATCCCCATCCAATTATATCCCCATCCAATCCAGATCCATGGAATAGATACATCTACTCCATCCCAGTCCCATATATGAAGAGTCTGGGCGATTTCCCCGACTCCTCCAGATTTCCTCCAGATCATCCATCCATCCATCCATCCATCCATCCATCCATCCATCCATTAACACCCGGACTCATGCGCTGTCAGGTGCATGTGATTGTCACCGTGCCCGAAAAGTGGGCCGCGGCCTCGGACGTCGCTCCACGTCACGTCGGACGTCGACGTCGCTGGAAGCTGCGAGCGCGAAGAAGTCGCGACGTGGGAAGACTGGGCCGGGCCGGGTTGGGATGCAGTGAACAAGTGCATGACACTTAGACTTGGTGAAATAGCAGCAACGGTGCCTTTCATGGAGTGTTTGGGCATGGACTTCTTTTCGGAGATATGGACCATGGCTCTAAGAGATTTGGAGCCCTAACCGCATGGTTCCAAGCAGCCTATCATCCGCCTACTTTCCCAGATGGTTTTACAACTGGGGACACACCGTCACCAAAGATTAGCACACAGAATCAAATTCAACAAACAGCTTTGTATACCGGGAAAAAGAAGACTTTCTTCATGTTTCTTCATTGTTCGTACAATCTATGCACATGCTAAAAGGGGTTATTGCAATTCCACCCATACCAAAGCAGAGCAGCAGGTGAGCTGTTGCGATTCGATGTTGGCTTGGAGACCCCGATGGGGATCTGGATCTTCGTATGGCAAGACTTGCGAGTCCAGTGTTTGAATGTGAAAAAGTTTAAACAAATACAAGAGGTAGGTAGGAGGTGGAAGAGTTGTTTGAGACCTCCAGCCACGGCCCGGCGCGCTGTTTTGGCACAGCGCTTCCCGAATTTCGAGAAAACGGGAACCGCCCATTTCGACACGGGAAAAAACAAATCGTTCAGAACTCGAGCTCTCCTCATCTCGATGGACGCGCAACGCTCTCAGGATGTAATGACGCGCAACACCGCGTGTGGCGGGGGACAGATGCTTGGCCCAGTACCGGGTGTGGGCGCCAGTACGTGGACCGGGGTCAGTGGGTGCGGCCCTGGGAGAAGCCGATTCTCGCGCTGCGGGGGCCGTGACGAACAAAATGACTCTACCCATATTCCGAGGTAAGAACAGGTCGAGTTCATCTTGTTTCTTTCAGATTCAGAGATTCTGCACCCAAGAAAGAAGACCCGCACCTCTGCTCGATTCCTAGATGCTCGGGCAAACAGAATTCTTTCGTAAGCCTTTGACCTATGAGGAGCTTCCAAAAATTAGGTGTTCTTTTTGTACACCCCGAATCACCTCCAACAGACGATTGATAGACAGGTTAAGGTACTTGGAAGGTACGCGATTTGGGGAGCGGACCACGGGTTTTTAGCCGTCTTGAAGGCGCCAACATAATATATCATAATATGATATTGAGCATTTTGATGTTCCATTGTGCAGCCACTTGCAGCCACTTGCAAGTGGCTGCAAGTGACTGCGATTTCAGCAATGCTGTTCTGCAAAGAAATTCCGGTGTTCTCCCGAGCTGCGCGCGGAGAAATCATGAAATAACCCAAGACTTTTCCGAGAATAAATTCCAAACTTCTGCAGAGCTAGCGACGAAGAAATCTTACCGTTTTGACATAAAGAACTCAAAGTACAGTGTTGAAGTTTACTTGCTTGAGTGACAGGTGGCTGCCTGAGCAAGCGGCTGCAAGTGACTGCAAGACCAAACATCGTCATTTGCTCGCTCTCTGTAATATGATGCAAAGAGCAACTGCACCTGATTCCGCCCCCCGAACAACAAGTGGTCCAAACAGAGGTTAAGGTTAAGGGTTGTCCATTGACCACGCCTGACTGGCGTCCCGATACCCAGGCGTTTGGGCTTCTGTGCTTCTGTGGATTCTGTGGCCTTTGGCTTCTGCGGCTTTCGGCTTGTGATTTGGCCCTACACCTCCAGTCGTACCTCCTCAGAAGGTATTTGGACCTCCAGGCACCCACCCCAGTCCCACTTCTGAGGAGGTACTTGGAGGTGTAGGGTTGTAGATGCTTGTAGCTTCTGTGGCATTTGCTGTTGGTTTCTGTTCCCTTTGGCTTAGTTGGCTTGTGTTCAGACTCCGGAAAGAGCTACCCAGCAACACTGGACACAAGGAGGGTACCATGAGACAACTATACGGCTATACGCTTATTTTGAGTTTCCAAGCTCCAGAAGGAGCTACCTAGCAAAAGAAGGAAACCATTAATTATGCATTGGTACACTTGCACATACGTGTTAATCTTCCAAACACCAGAAAGAGGTACCCAGCAAAACATTGATAGAAGGAGCAAAGCCGCTGCGATAGATGGCGTGATTTGCCAAGAGACCTATAGGTATGTTTTGAAATCACACGAGACACATACGATCTTAAGATGTAATGGGTGAATGAACTGCTCGGGAAACATGCTGAACACATGATAGTTTTTGAGCTGCTCCGGCAAACAGCAATGAACAAATGTTAACTTGAATCTCCTGTGCAATGAGCTGGTCGGTAAAATCACTGCAACAATGATAAGTTTTGATTGTCAGTCAGGCCTTTGTTTCAAGTCTAAAGAGGTCAAAGATGCAAGGCAGTGAAAATAATGATGTTTGACTGTAAGCTGGTTGTTTCTCTGGGTGAAAAACGCTGGTCGGTGAGCACATGCTGAAACAATGATAGTTAGATTAGATATAGTTAGTCTTTGATTGTAACTTTAGTTGTTTCTTTGGGTGGAGGGAGCTGGGGGAAAAGCTAACACATGACACGAACTGTTCGTAGCTAAACGGTTTCTTGTGATCGAAATGAGCTGTTGGGGGGGGGAACACTGACAGAATGATAATCTCCCAACCGTAAGGCTGGTGGGCATGTCTCAAGTGGGGTGAATCACTATGGCGTGAAACAGATGGGCTCATGTGCAGTGCGTGATGTCGCTGCTGAGAGGATCCAAGTGGTTCAGGGCACAGCTGGAGGCGTGCACAAGACGTTTCAACTGAGGTTGCCTGGCCACTAAACATCACTGTGACGGCACTCCAACACATGCACAAGGTTGAAGGATTGCGAACTCAGCCACACAGCTTCCTGGCGGCCTGCACGCATCAATGCCAATGGCAGCTCCATTGGGGGCGCCAGCTGTCTGTCTCACCGCTGGGGGCTGGGCTCAATGTATTTCATTGCTTTAGTGGGATTGAGCATGAAGCCAAATGTTTTGCTCTGACCCACGCCCCCGTCCAAACACTCCCGATCGTGGATTACTGCGATCCATATACTCGGAGCATCCGCCGTCCTTTTACAGCTTTAAGGCACTCGGGGTACGGTTTTACTTGTCGGCATCCAAAGTGTCACAAGTGGGTCCTTGTACCGGCCTTATTACTTCCATCCTTGGCGCAGACGTGGGTCCTACTTCGCCATCCTTCGAAGAATGTTGCGCGTTCTGCCAGAGCCATTCATGGGCGTGTACAAGCACTCAAAATGAGGTTTCCAGTTGTCGGATCAAGCCACGAAGGCCGGGCAACTCCACAGTGGCCAGTGGACACGCACATTGCTTAACGGATTCGTCTTTCTCATCGTCAGTGGCGGGACGATGGCATGTGCGACCGGCCCACTTGTTCGCTTGGTATTGGGTGGGGAACTGCGACTCTACTGGGCTTGTGCGGTGGGTTCCAATGGCGCCTCATCGGAGTCCAGTGGTATACCCGGCTGCTCGTCATGATCGTCTTGGTGTACTCGTACTTTGAAGTCGTGGCCTGCACGTCGGACGTCCGTCTCCCCATACTGTATATGTCTTCGCAGCCAGACGGGGATGGGCATGTTGTCGCGGTGGTGCTGGTGGTGGACCAGCTATTAACCCCAGCAGGCGTCCAAGACCAGGACGTATTTATATTATGAATAACGCTGCAAGCAGCTTAGCATGGCAGTGGCCTTTGCGTTTGCAATGTTGGAAACGTATGTGGCCTTTGTGGTCGGGGGTGCAGTAAAGGAAAGATGACCTATAGGCAAGTCGTAAAACTACCAATTCTCCAATTAATTCGCAGGCATTTAACCCTGCGGCGTTTAGCTAGGGTTCATGGATAGCTCAGCAGGGATTGAGAACACCTTGGACCCCAGTCCGTGATAGGGCGCGGCGCTGCCATAGCTTGGTTCGGTTGGGATCATTGCTACCAGTCCTTCGTGGCACCGTATAAGCCCGAGTAAGACAATTCATTCACAGCTGCCTGCGTACTGGTCGTGCTGGGCAACCACTGCTACTGTTGAAAACTTCTGCACCTTCTGCGTGTTCATCACACGTTTCAGCCAATTACTCAGGCTGACACGTAGACCGAACAGAGGGTAGATCCGTGGAGCCCCATAGAGAAACATGGAACCACTTCTGGACCAGAAAAAGAAACACCAACAGGCGCTCTTCTGCCCTCCGTTCGGTTCGCGTCCTGTCGTTCCGCCACGGTCGATGTCTTCCATGTTCGTCGATGTCGCCCCGCTCTCCGAGGAGTGATGACAGCTTGCAGAAACTGGTGCAGTTCCCCGGCTGGTCAGACCAGTCGGGGTGGTGGAAAACCACTACTGGACCCGACTCAAACAGAGGAGGGGGACGGAGTTGAGGTGGAGGGTCACACACATGTGGTGTGGAGGTTCAAAAGAACATGGGACATGTGACATGACTCTTGGGCCAATTACAAAGAGAAATAGATGCACTGTCCAAAGTGTTTGATGTACTTGGAGGATCCAGGCTTGAGTGGAAGAGAAGTTGATAAACAACGATTGGTGTTTGCAAGCTTGCCATGATTCTCCAAAATCAAATTCAAAAGACGTGTGTAATCTCCATATGGAGATAGCTTGGATAATAGGTCATTGAATGCCACTGGCACTTTCAAAAGTTTCAAGAGATTTGGAGGACCTTTCTTCGCCAGACTCCAGGGTCACAGTGACAGGTGACAGTAGATGAACACGATTAACTTCATTATACCCAGACACTCCATGTATGCCATATATATCTACATTGACCCCTCAAACCACCCCAATGTAGGATAATGTAGGCATATATGGCAGTCCCATGGAGTGTTTGGGATAGACTCTATCACCCACTTCCAAAACACACATCATTCTGCTCTTTGTTTTCGCCGACTTCGCGCACCCTTCACGGTCTCCGGTCGCCACCGGGACCGCCACGGTCGTCCGCCACGGTCGCCACCGAGGCTGATCATCATCGACGAGGTGCACCTCCTCAACGACGAGCGCGGCGCCGTCATCGAGACCGTGGTGGCGCGGTCCTTGCGCTTCCAGGCGCGGCGCGGAGGGGTGAGAGGGCCACGCGGGCGTGGGGACGGCGAAGAGGCCGGAAAGCTGGCCAGGGGTGTAGGTTTTGTTTGTTAGTGGTGGGATATGGCGTGATCATAAGATCTATAGTCTATAGATCTTTAAATACGTGGTTGTGTCTTTGGAATTATTGGAATACTTGTAGGCCTGTCTATACTTGGTCCACCTCCACAGTTGCCGGGTTTGCTTGATGGTGATGACAACGGTGAGCACCCTGTGGTTGGAAAATATCATATGATATCACAATTGTATCTTGCAAGGTGTTGGCAACGGCCAGAATGACTTTCTGACGAACAATTGAGTGGCTGCAATTCTGATCCCTTCACATTCATGTGAGTGCCTTGCCTTCAGATTCCTCGGTGTTTTCAGTCTTGGCTCAGGAAACCAGTGGACAGCCAGTGCGCGCGGGGTCCTGGATGATTTTGGAAGCTTCAGAGGCTTCAGGAGCTGGACTCGACTTCAGTTGTACAATCGAACAATGGAACATGACCCGAACCCAAAACAGCCATGGTTACAAGTGTCCGATCCTTTCTGAGGTAATTAGTTCGGGGTTTCGAACAGTTTGTTTCTTGTGCCCATCTGAGAATCTGAAGTTTCTCGGAGGGGCCGGAAATGTTTTATGTTTACTCTATAATTACCCTGAAAACAAGGACCCCTAAAAGAGCTCGCTTCACTTGGTTTCACTTACTGCGGTAGTCTAGTATCCTGAGAGTACAATAATCCTTATAGGGATCCAGTCGTACCTTCTCAGAAGGTGATGTGTTCGACACTGTTGTGTAGCTTTGAAGGTTTGTTTGGTTGCTTAGGATGTCAGACCCTTACAACAAGGCCACGAATCCCAGGCTTTACTGAACTCCTGAACACCCGAAGGGTCGCTCGCTCCAGCTTTTTTGTTCGGTCCGAGAACGATGTGGTGGAAAGAACATGTGAGGGACTTGGGGGGTTGGGGAAGTCTTCCTTTTTCACCGGACCTGGTGACTCGCAGAAGATGTTTGAACGTTTGAATGTTTTTGTTCCATGCTGTTCATCCTTTGGAGTTGATAGCCTCCTTGATTTCCAAAGCACAGGGCGTATGGCGTCCTATTGCTTCACCTGTCTCGTTTGTGCTCAGCAACACTTGATCAGCCCCAGAAGCGGGGCTCCTTATTGAGATATGTTGGGGGGTACAGGACAGTCGTGACATGCTTTATCCATATAGATATATAATGATATATGTTGTAAAATACATTGCTACATATTGCTACCAAAAGAACACAATACTGTATGTGGCGTGTCAATAACTTCTACCGGGATGCCGGTCCAAGTCGGGTGATCGCCCTGAGGAATTGTGGCCTTGTCAGCGACTTTGCCCAACTATCAGGACTGTATGGAATCATATGGAATCTATACAAGCTACCTTTAAAGAATCTATACAAGCCTGTAAAGATCCTAATCTATATCAACTGATTTCAATATTACCTTTTGAATCCTTTTGAAATCCTAGTTTGAGGTCAGTTGGGCCTGTAAAAGGTCACTGGCTGGCGCTCCAAAGAGGTTGCTTTGAAGAAGCTGGTACCTGGTTTTGCTTAGGATGATGATGATGATGATGATGATGATGATGATGATGATGATCTTTTTCCCTATGTGTGAAACCCCTTTGGGGGAATCCTTTCGTTCTTTCCTGGTTCTTGGACAGCAATTCCAAGTCTACCTGAAACCCAGACCTGACCCCTGTTTTGATAGGAACTTTGGACGATATTTTGGGTAGTTGGTGGTCACCCAAAAAGGGTCATTCAGATTCTATATAGGTATTATAGGTTATATTACATAGACGGCTTGACAACTGAAGCCATTGGGATGATAAACCATTTGGATGAGTTAAATCTGGCATCGAGTGTGGACCTTGCCGTAACTCTAGAGTATAGAGGCCAAGTGTTTGAAGGACCTGGAGACAAACAACGAGTGGGTTTGAAGTCTGAAGTCGTCGCAGTTCTTTGAGACCCCCCGCCTTGCGCGCCTTGGGCACGACCCAAGTTGGGACCATGGGCGGAACATGAATTTCCTTTAAGATGGGATCGAACATACCCTAGGGCTCCTGGCCTACCTCCTGAGAAGATGGTTATGGTGGGTGCCAGGGGGGTCTAACCACCCGAGGGTATGGTTGGAGCCCCAGGGATGATCAAGCACAGCTTTTTCACCAAAGCATCGTATTACTATGGATTACCCTAAGAACCCTTGGACCCTCCATAGCAGGCCGGACCTGACATCGAAACGCAGGGGTCCGGATTCTGGAGCCCCCAAAACCCTGTCCACTTGAGGGCCGGGATTCTTTTCCCAGCAGGCACATGAAGAATCGAGCATTGTTGGTCCCTTGAATGTTTCATCTGCCAAAGTGCAATCGTTTGCAGTGAAACAACTTGTACCAGATCTCTCTCCTGCCAGTACTGCTGGTCAAAGTGTTCACAATTCGTCACTATGATTGTGGCATCGTTGTCCCCACGAGCAGGGCATATTTGGTTGGGGGTCTTGAATTGAACATGAGGAACGCTCACCGCAAAATCTGCTTTTGTAGCTATTTTCATGGGTATAAAACACGATAGAACTCCATACCCCGCCAATCCATCCACAGACAAAGCCCATGCAAGCTGTTGGTTTCAAGTTTCAACGACATATATTTCAATCTCATCTGAGTCATCTGAGAGATATCACGACACAGATATCAAGGCTTGACATGCGCAAATCTCCTGGAACTCGGAATGCCAGTTCACCCTACTCTCTAGAGAACCCCAACTGTCCCTATAGCCTTACATGACCAGAAGGCACCGCGTTAGCCGTGAGTCGCGAGGACGTCGCAGCCTTCCTACGGGTGGAGGGAGAGTCGGGAGCCCCAGGTTCCGAACTTCAAGAGTTTGAAATCAAGGCAAGACTGACTTGAAGAGCAATATATATATATAGTTATATAATATATATATATATATTATATATAGTTATATATATTATATAGTTATATATATATATATACCCAAACGCTCATGGACCCTCCTAAGTAGGGGCCGGACCCTCCTAAGTAGGGGCCGGACCCTCAAATCCCTAGGGTTTTGAGGGACCAAGAGCAGTTTGGAGCGTCTAGGTATATATATATATATATGTTTGTCCTGTTTGGGTGAATGTGGTGTTTGACCCTTCAATAGCTATGTTTTACAATTTGCAGAAAGTTCTTCACAAGCCTGTCCAGACACTCCATGTATGGCATATTTGCCTTCATTCAATTGCCTTCAGGGGTCAATCGAGGCCTATATTCCATATTTGGATTGTTTGGGCTGACGATTTAAGATCAATGAACACCCTTCAACAGCCTATCATTCAACATACAACTTGTTTGGCCCAAATGTTGACTTGAGTCCCTACAAAGTATGGTAAAAGGCAAAGAAGGCCACCGATGCAAGAAGAGAGGATTTGGTTGCGATCACTTATTGCAGTTTATTGCAGTGATCTAGGCTTGGGTAGCCACGAAGCAAACATGGACTGGACAGCCATAGACATCCATAGAAATCCTTACGTGATCGAACTACACTGGAAGTCCACACTGCCATGGGTTTGTCAGTGCCTGTTTGCCAAAGATGCTCCGGGACAAGCCCTGCAAATGCTGCTGAATTGACATTTGCAGATGTCTGAAGGAATTTGATACACAATGGGGTAGACAGACCAGGTAGTCGTTGGACTGCTTGACCTGGAGAGGGATGCATATGTGCTTTCTAGGTGGACATATGTGGAAATCATGTACAGATTTGAATAGCAAAGAGGGTGTGATGACGTAAACTCAGGGTTCTATGAGTTCTTGCCAAAGACAGATGTTGTGGTGGAATCCACGGTCGAAACCTTTCAACAAAGCAAAGCATTCACCGGATTTGGATGCTTTCTTTCCACACAATGACCCTGAGGTATGGTATTTGGGCTGTACCTTGTAAACAACTTTCTTGGATCCACTCCTCTGGGTTCAGCGGATGTGTCTTCTTGCTTCCCACAAGCAACACCCCCCCCCACCAGGCCGCAGCTCCGTCACGAGCCCCGCGGCTCTGCCACTTGAAGCTCCCCACCCACCCGCTTTTCAGCAGATGGAAGGTCTGCAGCTGACAATGTGGGCTAGGATGTGATGATACACTTGGATCCATCACCTTTGACTCCAAGATGATCCAAGTCACTTTACGGAGGCTACACACCCACCACCCAACGCACCTTTCGTTCGGAGCGCGTTCGGAGTCACACATGCTGTCGGACTGGAGCGCATGCTGCCGGGAGAAGCGGAAGACGAGTGAAGTTTTGCAAGGAATCTCTTCTACTTCGACTCCTCCTATCGGCCCATTCCACTGGAGACCTCCTTCCTGGGCATCACCGAGCGACGAGCTCAGGAGGTGGTCGAGGGAGCTGGCAGTTGTCCGTGTGGTCAATGTTCTTCCCGATGCTTGAAACTGTTCTCCAGATGTTCTTGGGTATAGTCACCCTTCAAAAACAAGTCACTGAAAGTCCCTCCAAAATATGTCAGTACACCGCTTTGATCTATTATGATCTATTTAGGGGACAACATGGGACAACGATTTGTGGTTAAGAAAGACTGCACTGATGGTTTCCCATCAAAGACGTGTTGTGCTCAAACCCCGTACGCCCACAATTTGTTTCGCAATCATTATGTTGATTGCGGGTGAGCGCAGTCATGGCAGGTTTGGATCACAAGTAACAGAGGCAACATACATGTTATGCAATTGACAGGGGATCCATATCCGCTCTGAAGATTTGATCATGTTGATCGTACTATTTTCTACTAGCAGGGTATTTCTACCAGAAGCTGTATTGTTATGTGCGTGAATTGCATGTTTACAAGCAGCCACCTGTGATTCATTCACCTTCCCTTTTCTTCCTTTCTCCCCTTCCTTTGGATCGTTTTGATTCGATGTCAATCAGCTGCTTCGTATGCATCCCATAATTTTGTGTGTAAAGTCGACGAGGCTGGATTTGCCACTTAGCTCTAAGCTCTACAGTATGGTTCCTTGTGGAAAGGTCCATAGCAGGCCCAGGTACTCAGGTACTTTGACTTTGGCTCGCTTCATCAAACGTAATCCCTTATCCTAGGGAAACTTATAGATTACAAACTATCGGGTTGTCCGGTTGGGGAGCTGTGGTGTGGTCCACAGCGCGAAGTCCCGGGTTTTCGCTTGGTAGATCTTGGGCGCCACGGTAGATCTCGTAGTCCTCTTGTGCCGGCGTGCCCCCCTGATTTGCTGCAAGACTCAGCTGTACCAGGTTTTGTTCTTTTTTTTTTCCCAAGACAGATCGGATCTACGCCCAGGAATTGATCCTGCAGCCTGATTTTTACAGCTGTTCCACCCTTTTTTACAGCCTCAAAAACAGTGAGCGGTTCTTGAGTGGCCGCACGGCAGCGAACCGCAGTGCGGTACAGCCTCAAAAAAACAAAAATCTCTCATGTCCGAGGACCAACCGCGTGAAGCAAATGGCCAAGCTCAACGAGATTTGCTACGAAGCCGTCATTGAACAGGTCCGCAAAGGCCGCGTGGAGCGCGGCTTTGAAGACGTCCGTTGTTCGAAGGTGGGACTGGGGCGGAGTTGGAGGGTCTATGTAGACCCCCATAGACACCCAAACAGATAGAAAAGTAGATCCCCACAAAGTCTACTTGGGAACTCTAAGGGCTGGTGACCTCGACAGAGAGAAGGTCTCGATTTATGTGGTTCCCGGTGGCTTCGTTTCAAGACTCTATTGGCCAAGCCCGAAGGTGAATGGTTTCGTTCATTGAAGGTTCCAAGTTCGTCGCTTTGTGAGGTGCTTTTGGGGTCTGCCGTCTGCCGTGGATACGGATATTCTTTTCGCACTCCGAGCACTCCTCCGTTCGTTCGGCCACCGTCTTTGTGGACCCCTGGGCTTCCTTCAGTTCCTTGGTCTGTTCATGGTCTCAACATCCTCTTCTCCCAGATCGGGGGGGGGGTAGAGGGCTGGAGCCCTGGGCCCAGAACACGGGGGATGGCCTTTGATTTCGGGTCGTGCCCAAATACACCACGCGAGGCACCGTCGGACTCTTCGTTCACTCCTAGGGCACCAGGTCATGGTCTTCGTTCACTCGCGTGGTGATACGTACAAGACGGTCTGGGAGCCCCAGAGATGGTGAGAGCTGACAGAGTCGACAGAGCTGAACCCGGAGTCGAGCGTCCAAGGAGAAAGCTCCGTCCGTTCGCCGTGAGACCCAGCACTGGAGTTGTGTAAAGTGAGTAAAGTGGAAGTGTAATACTGTAAGGTCCCAGAGACTGCATGGGACTGGAATACTCACCTATGCATTCACCCCTGATGGCCCAACCCCAATCTATGTGTAACATAGCGAGTGTCAGGGGTTGTTGCAAACCATGCATGTTTCAGCTTTGAATGAGTGGTCGCACCTTCCCCACTCTCCTAGAATCATCACCGCTTTCGATGGAGTTTCTGCTCTGGTCCTGTTCCATCTTGGCCAAGAAATGGCAGACGGGCGGTGTTTTGAGTGACCTAAGAAATCCTAGGGCTTAAAGAAAGACATTGGATTGAAATTTGTCGATATGTTTGTAGCTCTCTTGTTGGAATTTGCTGAGTTTTTGCTTACCAGGGAAGGGTGCAATGTGAGTGTTGTCCTTCAAAGCCTGTGATCTTGGGGTAATATCATCTTGGGGCCTGCAGCACTTGATTTTCTGGGGTGAGCAGTTGTGTGGCAAAGCACCGCAAAACAGAACCCCCTAAGGTCTCTTTCAAATTCAATTCATGTCCTTTTAAATCTTGCAGTGTATATGTAAAATTATGTAAATTACCCTTTCAAGGTTTGCAATGCTTGCGAAGCCATTTCTCATGACCATTCATGCTATGTAAATAGTATTAAATAGTTGCTTGTAATATATATATACTGTACTATATATATACACACACCTATCCTTCAGGCAGGACATTTAGCCTTTCCTGAAAAAGCTGTTTGTTTGCATGTCGTTTGGCTGAACACCTACTTTCCTGAACATGACATGGGCAGAAACACCCGCAAAAACAGGCAGACAGACTCATACATCGGGCAAACATACTGGGAAACGGGCAGAAGCATACGCTGGCATTGCAAGAAACTGTTTGAAGGGCGAAAACGGGAAACGTACATTACCGTACATTGGGCAAACAGAAGCACTAGACTATAGGGCACAAAAACAGTTGGTAGGCAGAAGTTCTGCCTGTTCAATCTCAGAGGATTTCCAAGGTACAGGACGAGTTTCGTGGTCCCAACCGAAACACGACTGTTTTTTTTTTTGCATGTTTCTGATTTGGAAGAGCGGAAGAGTAGCATCTTCCAACTGAATTACCTGAAACTCGAACTCGGATGATTTGACTTCGCATGACTTATGATTGGGGACACTCGCAGCTGGCTCACCATCAGTGCCACATCCAAGCAGGGATCACGTGGTAGTCAAGAGTCGGTCGGTTTGTGACATTTTGTGACCCATTAATTTTCGATATGTTTGCTCTTCCTTTGCCTCTTTCTATTTCTCTGGTCTGGTAGCGCCGGTGTGCAAACTCTTCCAACAGAAGGTGGATTTGTTACGGATTGCGGCACCACTTTGAGATGAATAATCTGAAGGAAGAGCAAGAAGATCCGAGAGGATATCATCAAGCAGAGATTGAAAAGGTTTCCACGTGTATGAAGGAGAGTTCATCCGTAGAGCTTTTGTCCCACATCCTCACATGACCTCACTGGCACCTTCCCCCACCACCGAACCTAAAACGGAGGTCATTGTAACACTAGGAAATACTCAGAATGTCTACGTACCTTGACTCACCAAAGTAGATTAGAACATGGGACCTGACCCCATAAAACAACAGGTATACTTAGGTACTTGTACCCATTGTCCGAGGTACTTTGAGGGTCATGAGTCAAGGTATTCACTTGTTTTTGGATATTTTGCATGGGCAGCGGCAATCCTCCGAGTTCAGCAAAAAGGAAGATGAATTGAACTTGGTGGTCGTTACCAGGACCTTCCAACAGGTGGTTTTGGACACTCCATGACCTCTAAGACTCTAAGAGTCTATTCAAAGACACCTCAGAAGGAAGGTGGTGGTACATGAAAATTTACAAGGTTTTTGAGGCACATTGTGCTGCAGTGAAGCTGTATAGGAAATGCACCTCCAGTCAAGACAACATCCCCAAGCGCTGAGCCTCGGAGAGGGATACACGGCGGATTGCCGTTCCCGATGCGACATGCGTGAAAGCTTTATGTGATGGTTGGCATTGAAGATCTTAACGACAGGGCTCGAAGCCAGGTGATTTCGTTTGTTGTTACACCACTACGGATCGGGTGCCTCCCCCATACACGTATACTTGTTGGTTTTGAATTGCCATTCACTTCAACGGACATTTGTTTAGCATATAATGTATACCTGTTTGATTCAATTCGTCCAAAGGGTTTTCATGTTTGAACATGGAGGGAGACGAGGCGATTTGTGGATGATCGAATTCCGCGTACATGTGATGATTCGATGCGTCCCCTGCCAGATTCACGTTGGGGCATCCCAATGTTGTGTTTGTTGGGAGGGTGTGTCGACGCATGGATTTGGATTGGGCAGTGACGATGCTGTCAAGCCGTCAGAAGACCCAGCAAAGAATTACCCGTCGAGAGCCTCGGAAGGGTGCTCATCTCCCATGGACGGAGAGCTGCAATCAAGAGACATGCGACCATAGTCCAACTCTAAGATAAAGAAAGTGCTCTCCCAATTCATGCAATGGTCGCATTTGGTGGTAAATGGCAGGTGCTTGCGTCAAGGATTGGTATACTTATTCTTGTTGCCTTGCCGCGCGGCGCCGCCATCACCCAGTATGTCCTAATTCTCCTGTTTTATGTATATGCGTTGTTTGTGCTGTTGTTCTCTTTTTGCGGTAAAGTGGGGTGGTTCCAAGTCGCGGTGGCGTCAGTACCCAATCGGAGAAAGTTTCGCGTCAGCGTGCCTCCAGCGTGAGGTCTGGACACTAAAGGGCAGGTGGTCCATGTTTCCTTGTATTGGAGCTTTGCTTTGGATGTCGGATTTTCAATCAGTTCCTCAACCCCAGCGCGTGCCTGAATAGTGTCAACACTGTTCCCTGCATAGTCTTTTTACTTAAGTGACTCCAGAGCCTATATGGTTTACATGGTGGGCGTGGCTCGACCGCCGCGCATTTGATCTACGTGTTCTGCAGCCCTGCCCAGCCTTTGTTCACCGATGGAATGATGTGAGCAGACAGCTCAGAACTCTTGAGGCAGACACTTTAGCACAGATGGCCAACGACCACCAGCAACTGGGTTTTTTTGATATGCGTCGGGCACCCAGTCGCAGGTGTTTGTGGCCCCAGTGGTTTTGTTGATGTGTTATGTTTCCATATTGTTTCAATGTTCGTGGGTTTTAGATTATAGATATTTGTGATTTGATTCGTTCCAACAAGTGTTGAAAATCTTGCTATGAGGCACCCATATGCAGTTTGGATATTTCCAGCAGCAGGCACGACCAACGGGCAAACCTCAAAATTTTGCAAACATCAATCAAGTGCAGGTATGCACGGCAGTTAAACGTCCCGGAGCGTTTTCCGCTTATGATCGATTGATGTTTCAATCATGACCACTGGATTTTTCGTGACTGTTTGAAAATTCAATGCCTACAGTCTTGCATTTTGAATGGTTTTTAGATGTTTTTAGTGCAACAATCTGGCCTAGCAGTGGCAAATCAGGGAAGCACGTACAGGAACTCAAACGCTGAAATTCTGCTGCTAAGGGACCCTTGGTTGCAGATGTTTGCAGGTGCAGAAGTCCAGGAACAAACAGGTGCAGATGATTTTCGACAAAGGTTTTGGCATCCATCATGCGTGGACCCTCAGCTTCATGGGGTTTTGCAAGAAAATGAAAACATTGAGGTTGGTTTCTGCGCTTTGGCTGGCTAAGAGTCTAAGAGGGTTTTCTTGCTGGCTTGAAGCAGGATGATCAATGCTGTGAGGGTCCCCGCATGTTTAACTTGGATGGGGCAGAAACCATAGATCATCGTGCTAACTTCCCCCACAGCCGTGTTTTTCAAGACGGTGAGTTGCCCCATCCGTGCAGAGCCGGTCTGGTCTGGTCTGGCGCTTTTGTGAAGACGACGCGCCGGACCGAGGCGGGCATGCTGCGGTCGGATCGGACGCTCACCGAGAAGATGTTCTTGGCGGGGGTGGTGCCCGTGCTATGCTGCACCGTGGGGGGCTCGACGTCGCCGCGTCGTGACAGCGCGACGACGGAGCCCACAGAGCCTCAGAGCTGGGACGTGTGGGACAGAAGCCATGGAAAGTCGATGAACGAGGACAGGAAGAAAGACAAGGATCCCAGGTGATTGTGGCTCTATGAAATGGGGATGCTTTACCTCCATATATCACCAGGGATACTAAGTCCAAAAGACATGTTGTAAGCTATATAGGATATACCCCAAGAAGGGCTCCTGAGAAGGTTGCGGTAGGTGCCAGTGAGCTTTAAGCACCTTTCTTCTGATGTCGGGAGCCCTGGTCAAACACCTCCAACTCCCCCCGCACCGGGGTACAACGCGCGGGTCTCCCGGCATGGGCCTCACTAAACCCTTCGCCGAAGGCCACGTTGGCTTGGGGCGTGAACTTGCCAGCGAGGCGCCGTGACTCGGGGGGGATCACCGACGGTATACGCCGCGAGGGTATACAAGGTATACAAGTCACGTGCCACACCGTGGTATAGCGGCGGGGTGAAGGATGGGCGCACCCAGTGAAAGGAGGAACATCGGTTTGGGAACATCGGCTGTGTAAATGGCCGTGAACATCAGAGACGGGGTGTGTGGATTGTAGGAGACTTGATTCGCTCGAGCGGACAGAATTACTGGAACATACTGAAACTATAGTCTTAGAGTCTTTAAAGTAAAACCTCTCGCAGGGTACGACAAAAGAAGTTTTGGCGGGTTAAAGAATGGACAATTGCAAATGGTTGACCCCTTGAAGAGCCAGACCCAGACCCCGCCTGGTCCTTGTTTCGCTCGTTGAGTACGGTTCTTTCGTCCACCGAGTGAAATGAGGTCCGCCAGACCTGTGAGCTTTTGTTGAACATAGTTGGTTGCTTTCATACTGCGATCTGTTTTCATGTCTGCAGAGGATCAGCAGATGCATGGGATGTTGTTATGTTAATGCTTATGTGGGGGAACACATCCAGGGGTGCCGATGATATGGCCTCCCCGATCTGGAATCTGTTCCATCCAAACCAAGGCTTTCTGGAGTGGTTCCCCGAAATCGCTGAGCAGACTCTATTGACTTGTAGAGAGATGGCCCAGGTGTAAGGGACACTGTGATAGTCTATTCAACGATTCAACGTTCTGATCCTTACTGTTCAGTGCTCAATACTCGAAGGTAGATCACCGATCACGACAAACGCATAAAGACGGTGTAGCTTACTACCTTCTCGTGGAATTCCGGGTTTGTTTGTTTAGCTGGCAAGAGGGGGCCACCTTTCAGTGGTTCTTTCAGGAGTGTGATCATCAAGGGCACCTCGATCTTTGATTCCCAAGCCGGCGGTTACAAGGAGATTGTGTTTTGGGTTATCGCGCGTTCTCCGAGAGGAATCGCCATGATGAATGGATAACGCCATGCCATGTTTGCATCATTTTGCATCCATACCCAGACACTCCATGAGTTTGACATGCATAATTATTCACATTTGGCGGGGTATGGTGGGGTTATTGTATGTTATTGTATAGGTATAATATGTATATATATTGTAGTTTGGATGGGCTGGTTGTAGGTCAGGTGATCATTTGCCAATCTCGATCATCCAGCTTTAAAGTCAGTTCGTGAGTTTGGTTTAGTGACTTCAGGTGACGAACGATATGATATCCAAGTTCGGGGTATCGAAGCAGCGGCATACAGGGATCCTTTGGACCATTCAGCTAGCTCGAGTACGGATCCGTACTTTCATCATACCATATCATACCAAACACCCCAGTACCCTCCAGTACCCGTGAGTGTGGAAAGTACTTATATATGTCAAATCTATATTACAATTATTACACCAAACACCCCCTGATTTTCATCCACATCATGTTCAGTCCTTCTTTCCGTCGGACGGAAGCTCGCCGTGGATGACGGAAGCTCGCCGTGCGACTCGCCGTGCGACTGGCCGTGCGACTGGCCTGCTAGACCAGGACCTAAGCAGGAGAGGTCCGGACTGGTGGGACCTGAGCTGCAGGACCTGGGCATCTTGGATGTGCAGCAGATTTTTGGTCGTGCCGGGCGCCCGGGCTTCGATACCCAAGGCGCGGCCGGAAGGAGGAGGGGAGGAGGACGAAGGAGGACCGGAGGGCTGGTATGAGATGCCATGAACCATGAGAGTTTGGGAGGAAGATGGCTGAAGAAACAAACCCAAACCCCTCAGCAATCTACTGTAAAGCCATCTGGATTCTTAGGGGTTTTCCCACAAGAGGTTTCAGAAGTCCCTCTGGCTGAAATTGTGGCGTTTCACTGCCAGATGGTGGATTTTGACGAGATCCCAAAACAGATCTCCACTCACTTGGCAGAGCTGTGATGATGCAAGAGCATACTAGATCGGTATAAATATTGGCAACCATTGACTCTCAAACCATACAATATGTTCTCACTGTCAGGGTTCGACCTACTTTCGGGCCCTTCCTAACCATCGAAGGAGGAGACCTGGCAGTTTTCGGATGCTGAAAAGCTTATTCCTTTTTTTGTTCGCACGAATCACACCTGCGAGTACTCAGAATGAAGTTGGGAGGTCGACCACACTCTGGTAGACAGTGAAATGTTGATGCCTGAAGTGGTGAGGATAGTACACATGCCTGTGACAACTTTCTTGGGCTTGCCAACTCTTTGCAAACGGCTCTACGGCGATCTCTGGGGCCAAACTTGTTTGACATTGCCTTCGCTGAATTCGGTCTTGAGCCAGAAGATGTGGAGGTCCGCCCACTGGGATCTGGCGCTTGCTGTTGAGGCCCAGTAGTGCCCACTGCGATCTGGCACTTGCAGTTGAGGTCCGGTAGTCCACACTGCGATCTGTCACTTGCAATTGAGGTCCGGTAGTGCCCACTGCGATGTGGCACTTGCAGTTTAGGTGCAGTAGTCAAGGAGACGAGGAGAGGAGGATAAGGAAGAGGAGAGCTCTGATAAAATCTAACAACCCTCACCCGGCAGGTGGGGAAAAACTGTGACTTTCGGTTTTGGGAGCTTTTCCGGCGGAACCAATCAAACGGCAGAACAACGAACACCGCCGCCGGACACCGTGCCCACCGCTCCAGGCCATGCGACCCTGTGAGCTTTGGCCTGCTTAAGACGTCGAGCGAGACGCGGGGGGTTGTATTTCATCTATAATTTCCGGGATCAAATTGATTGGTAAATACTCCAGTCCCACTATATAGTCGTGCTTGGGCATGGTATAGGTCTGGTTGTCGTGTTCACCCCTTTTATTTCTCTAGCTGGGGTTAATCTTATCGCTATGAACTGGATGAAGGCCTTCATGACCATCAGCCACTGTTCTTGTGAACAAAAATGAACAAAGACCCATCCTGGACCACCAACCGGGGTGATTAATGTTCTAACGGGCAACTGATGGACACCCGTTTCGTGGCGCTGGATTGTCCCCTTATCCACTGCTGCTTGCCTCATGATACAGGAAGGGACTGCGTTATGCGTCTGGTGTGTAGCACTAGTTGCGAGCTGGGATGAATACCGTTGAACATGACCGTTTCCGCATGTTGTTTTGGTTCTTTTCATGGGTTCCATGCGGATGCTACAAAAGAACCGAAAAAAACGCTGGAACCGACGTCGATGGACCTACGACGCAAAAATCTGGAACAGAAAATTCAGGTATAATTAGGTCTACACCATCTACATCCTTCAGTTTTTGGACACCTCCAAACCCAGTTCACTTCACATGTTTAAGACGCCCAGCCTTCGCCACAGCCCAAGGATCGACCTCCTCCGTGTCAGCGATTGCTTTAAACAAAATTCCCTTTGGAGACACCTGGCGACTGGAACGAGACAGGTGTCCACTCAACATCCTGAAAAGCAATGGTTCGAGACAAGGGGTCCATTACGAGCCGAAATCATCATGCACTGCCTCAAACACAACGATCGATGGTCTATACCTAAAAGCACCTGGGGCAAAAATTTCTGCCTCAGCCCGATTTGCCCGGGAGGATTCGCGGATTTAAGGTAAATCCGCGCCAGGTAGGAATTTCCGCGGCCAGCGGGGAATTTTTGCCTCGAGTAAAATCCGACATAGCAATTCAAAAACCATCACCACTGCCTAACACCGACCAGGTTGTCTCTTCCATGATTGCAGACCACATATCGTTCTGCGAGGCCATAGTTTCACATCTCAAGATCTGACATCCTACTTCTAAATTCATGACATTCACAAAGAGGCTGCGATATATGTTCAAGCCCTTCAAGGGCACTGTTCTTGAATCCCGCCTTCTGCCAGGAAATTTCCGCCGTTTTCCCGGGTATTTCCGCCGTTTTCCCGGGTATTTCCGCCTCTTTCCCGGGTATTTCCGCCTCTTTCCCGGGCATTTTCGCGCCAGGTGTTTTCAACTTTGGACTGGTTTTACTGCTCGTGTGCTCATTCCGCACAAGAAGCCTTCAAAAACAAAGACATGGTAGCCAGATTTGCAGGTGGAGGTAGAAACTTAGGCGCCGCCATCTTTTTGTATCATTGAGGTGACCATTCCAGGCAGAAATGCCCAATGCACATGCAAACCACCAAAAAGATTCAACTGTTCTATATAGAATATATGTAGTCTCTCACTAGATTCCTGAAAGGGAAAATGTGCGGCAACAAAAACATTTCCGCGGCAAAAAGTTGGTTTCCGCCCCAGGACGGGGAGAGCCGCTCTTCCCGAAAAAGGCAAGAATTTCTGCCGAAAGGATCTTCTAGGTATGCCAAAAAATATCAAAGAAACGGTCAGTCCCCGACTGCTGACTGTTAAACGCATGGCTCACAAACATCACATGTGATCGAACAATTTGGGCACGCAGGCTCAGCAAGCAAGCTCTAAAGTTTCACCAAACTCAGCCAGTTTAACCATCATCACAGTATTTGGAAACACTCCTTGGTGCAGGAAGGGAACGATACATCTTTGCAATCTTTCGCTAGCAAATATGACAAAGATCGCTATGACTTGGAAATGCGTGCGCCCCTTCTACTCGTGGCAAAGGGCTCCTTCCAGCTCCGCCAGCCCCATCCGTGCCTGGAAGCTGGCTTGCTGAAATCAGCCCCAAGTCATTCTCTGGAGAATTAGCTTGGCTTTGTCAAGACATATCAAGACCATGGCCAATTTGTTTATGACGATGAGCATCGGAGTCGGAATCGAATGCTTCTTTGGAATCCAGGTCGTGTGATACACAGCACCAGACCTGTGTAGCGTCCAAAGACACGAGACTGGCATATTTACCTACGAGCACCTTCCTAATTCATCCTAACTCCGGGTTTCCTCGCTGGACAATTCCCCAGCCCGCTACGTACGTGTTTTTTTTTGAGACAGTACACCCCGAAATGAAGGTTCAGGTACCCTGAAACCACCCCAAGGGTAGGTGAATGTTCCATACGTGGAATGATAAGGGAATGTCAGGGATTTATTGCATGTAGTCCCCAGTGTAGTAGGATGATCAGAGGCGTGGTATCAATCGTGATATCCTGAATGTAAGCCAGACGAACGAAGCACATTCCTCAGAGAAACGAAGCCATTCCCTCTATAGTTTGTGCATGTTTGCGCATGTGTTGGGAGAGTCCAAGGGTCACTTCCAAGTGCCTTTCGTCCTTTTCGCCAGGATCACTGAACACGCGAACTTGAACAACTATTTGCGCTTGCTGTTGCTACTTGTCCCTGTTTGATTCGATACCTTTTGATTCTTGGATTTGCCTGGATTTGTGAAACTGGTTCAAATTGGATACCCTGGGTGTGCAGCACAAAACAAATGCTGAAGGATTTTGTTCTACTTGATTTGTCCTTTCTTACTATTAGGCTTGGTGGGTGTCTCAGCTACTAGAGGACTTACTGACCCTATAGGACCATATCGTCAGGCAGGGATAGACCCCGGCACCCACCCCAACCATCTTCTCAGAATGTAGTTCAAACCCTACTTAGGGTGAAACATGGTGAAACCGTGAATTCTGGACCTTTTGAGAGCTGTGATTTTGGGGAACCCCTTCTCATCAGGAAAGTTTTTTGGGGCCCAAAGACCCCAAGACGAGCAACAGTAGAGGGATGAAGCCGAAGAACATTTGCAGTTGATGATGTGTTGTTGTTATGATTTTGGGCTATCCCGTTCGCAGAATCCGCTGTAACTGCAGCAGAAGCACAGTAAGAGAAGCTTATTATGGCTATACTGTATATATATATAATGTTCTAATAACCTAGCATTTGTTTGTTGTGTTTGCCTGATGTTGTTTGACCATTTTAGTAAATGAAAAGATGAGTGAGTATCAGCTAAGATCGAGCGCAGATCTGGGTCTTGTTAAGTGAAAGCTGAGATGGACAACATCAGCTCCAAAAGAAGTCATCGGACATCTTTGGGCACACCCAAAAACATCAAATCACGAACGATCAGCATAGCAGCATATTTTGAATGATGCATCATGATTGCTTTGTTGTTAGAACACCCTACACAGCCAGGAAACCATGATTGACCTACATGGAGCCCAAATCACATGCAACCCCTGGCTCCAATGGCAAATGAGTCCTGTCGAATCTGCCAGTCCGGAGTCGGATCGCTTCTCAACACCTCAGAGCTCAGCTGCACAGCTGGCGCTCATGGGCGCTCGCCAATCCCCGAGGCATCAGATGCCCATCGAGTCCAAATTCTTGGAGAACATGGCCAATGCACTGAACGCAGAGATCGTCCCTTGGAACGTCAGATGCTTCGGAAAAAAAACAAGTTCATAGAATATCCTAGAATTTTGGTGGAACGCTTCCTTATTTGGCGGAGAAGTGGATGTTGGAAGGGGGAGAGGGAGTATGTGGGTTTGGGCCTGATTTAGAGGGGTTCAATGTTTGATGCCGTGAACTGTGCAAAGCTAATTGCATATACCTAGACGGCAAACCTTTTGGGTCACCCACTTCACGTGCGAAGAGGGTGTGTGTCAAGTGAATGTGTTGCAAGGGTTGTCTAAACGTTTGAGCCAGGCTGGTGCGACGTTTGGGCATGTTCACCGACACGTGGTGAGCGTACGGTCTGAAGGCCATCTATGCATATACCTAGAACCTGAAAGACCTCGATCTTAGACCAGACAGATAGAACCACACGGGTGTGAATGCCAATCCTCCTGGGGCGTCACCATGATGCCTCTGCGCGAGGCTCCGCAGGCCCCCCCCGCCACCGGGGTTTAGGCCATGGGCAACGTCTCCAGCGAGAAGGACGCAGCCGATTGGCTCCGCCCGGGTCCTTGGGGATAATCCCAGTGTTCCAAGGGCTGGGGGTCAAGGAGATGAAACAAAAGAGCAATAAACACATTCCAGCACCACTCAAAGGGTGGATAAGGGTGGTTTATAGAACCCCTTGAAGATGTATGTTCCATCCAATGACCACCCTTCCTTTGGGTGGTGCTGGATAAGACATCTTGGAGCAGTTGCTGGCTCGAGTATATAGGGTCTTCATCATCTCGTTCTCGAACGAATCGCAAAGTATCTGAGAATTGGGATTCACAGTATTCAGATTTTACCTTTAGTTGCGTGTGTTTTAAGACCACAACATACCACAACTGTACGTATTTCTTTGTATCATGTGGAACGACCTTAAGGCCTCCCTCTATTGAGCTTACTGCTGCCTCAGTTTGGTGTCGCAGGTGGGACGAACGTGGAACATGAGTAGGAGCGTGGAGACATCCCCCAAAACAGCCTTCACACCTCAGGCTTTCATCTACAATCTTGTATAACTATACAAAATTAATCCATGAGACTGGAAGAGTTATAATATACCTACATTTACTCATCTAAATGACCCATCCATGGAGGTAACTCTTCCACCGCCTCTACGTCCAGGCTATTCCTACCTCTTCGTCCGCTTCTTCCGCACACCCCAGAAGTTTGGTATCACACAGCAGGACTGCGACCCGGCCATGGAGGGGTGAGGGTCATCCGTTCATCCAATTCTGCTCCATTCCCACATCCCAAAAGAAGGTACGGACAGACTCCCAACCTGCTTCCACCCCAACCACAGGGAATAGATACATCTTGGGTCTGTCCTATGGGAATAGATACATCTTGGGTCTGTCCTATCACCTGTGACACTGGGCAACAATGATCACTATCTCAAGAGAAAGGCCTGCACCTGAACCATCATCATCTACTGGGCCCTGGTACTAGGATAGAACCCTATATTAATATATTGCATCTATTTGATGAATACTTTCAAGGCTGAGCAGACTTCCAGCTACGAAGTTCTGGCGATCCAGCGGTTCCGGCCTGGGGGCATCCATGGAGGCCTTTCCCATTTAGCGGGTGCCCTGTCTGGAGACCTGTTGACGTAGGGTAGGGTAGTCGAACGCCAGGACACCCAGACAGGATGACAGATGATCCTGGATATACCCTATAGGGCTCCTGGCCCACCTCCGTTTCGAAGATGCTTGGGGTGGGTGCCAAGGGGGGGGTCGAACCACCTAACCGGATATGGTTGGAGCCCTAGCATCCTGATGGCTGGGTTGTTGTCCTGGAAAACCCAGCTGGTGACTCAAATAGCAGTTTTATCCGATCCTGTTTCGTCTGACGGCGAGCCAAAAACCTATATATACCTAGAAGCACCTGGGGCAGAAATTTCTGCCTCAGTCCGATTTGCCCGGGAGGATTCGCGGATTTAGGGGAAATCCATGCCAGGTAGGAATTTCCGCGGGCAGCAGGGAATTTTTGCCTCAAGCAAAATCCAACATAGCAATTCGAAAACCACTGCCTAAGACCAACCAGGTTGTCTCTTCCATGATTGCAGACAGACCACATATCGTTCTGCAAGGACATAGCTTCACATCTCAAGATCTGACACCCTACGATTTTGACACTTCTAAATTCATGACATTCACAAAGAGGCTGCGACATATGTTCAAGCCCTTCGAAGGCATCAAAGGCACTGTTCTTGAATCCCGCCTTCTGCCAGGAAATTCCGCCGGTTTCCCGGGTATTTCCGTCGTTTTCCCGGGTATTTCCGCCTTTTTCCCGGGTATTTCTGCCTTTTTCCCGGACATTTTCGTGCCAGGTGTTTTCAACTTTGGACTGATTTTAGTCCTTTTGTGCTCATTCTGCACAAGAAACCTTCAAAAACAAAGACACATATATGACATGATATGATGGTAGCCAGATTTGCAGGTGGAGGTGGAAACTTAAGCGCTGCTAATTGTTTTTCTCATTGCGGTAACCGTTCCAGGCAGAAATGCCCAATGTAAGACACAAAAATATTCAACTCCTCTAGAATTTATGTATATAGTCTTTGTCTCACTGGATTCCTGAAAGGGAATATTCGCGGCAACAAAAACATTTCCGCGGCAAACAGCTGATTTCCGCCCCAGGACGGGAAGAGCCGCTCTTCCCAAAAAAGGCAAGAATTTCTGCCCAAAGGATCTTCTAGGATATATGTTACCAACTACTGACCCAACGTGATCATGTTAGATGGACTGGGGGCCATTCACAAGAGGCTGCCGGCACATTACCACGAACAGAGCATTGGTTCTTTCTGTGTATCTCCCTGAAACTGACCATAGCAGCGTGCAGAGCTTTCACAGAGTCTCAAACTTAGTGGTTTTGCTGCCAGACAAACATATCGAACATACGTGTGTCATGCATTTCACGGGTACTGTTCAACACTGGAACACCGGGGAGCAACCAGATGCTTCCACAGATGATCCCACACATATTGTAGAACCATGTTTCCATGGTCCAAGAACAGTTTTTGGGTGGTTCCCCCCTTCCGACCCCCTGCCCCAATTTCCCTGACAACGCGATGGAGCAACCTCAAGTCACTCATGAACCAACCAAGTCGCTGACCGTTTTCCTTCGAACCAGAGCGTTTTCATGCGTTTTCCCATTTGCGCCGTTTTGAATCCAATGCCGTCTTAGGTCAGAAAAAGAGCTGGAAGGTGATGTGTGATGCATCATCTTGGATCCTACTACCGTGTATCCCTACCCAGAGCTTTTTTGGTGCTTTTCCGGCGTTCGAAAGAGGAGTCCCGTCCTTCGGGCTCGGACGGGAGTGAGCCTTCGTTCGGCTTCGTTCGCCTTCGATCCGCTCCAGGACTTTGAGAGGGATCCTTCCTTGGAGAAGAAGAGGCGTGAGTTCGTCCATGAGGCGCTGAGTTGAGTCTTGCTGATCCGCTTCGGATCGGATCGGATCTGCGGCGGAGAGATAGACCGGAGAGATGGACCGTATTCCAAAAACCATCGGTATTCAGAAAAGGAGAGAAACCCGGCAAAACAATGAAAAACAACACAAGAACATGAGTGTCGTGCTTTGCGTGTGACTGTTTCGTACTACTTTCAGAACAGGCTTGTTGAACGATAGAGAGTTCAATTAAGGTAGGGCTCCGCACTGGCCACACCAACTGCTTCACCTTTTGAACCTGCTTCAACTCAGTCTGTAAACAGGGCACACAATCTTCGTGTCAGGACCCTGAATAGGTTCGGAGACACGGGAACCGTGCAGAAGGAGAGTTCCCACCCTCCACCACGACGGTGTGGGCTCTCGTGCTTCCCAAAACATGCGGCACGTGTGGGGCCGATGAAAGTGAGTTGAAAGCGTGTTGGGTCAGGGGACCGGACGGGCGAAGTGAACCGGGAGTCGAACCGAGCAGCGCCGAGAAAACTCGAGAGCTTCGCCTGGTGGACATACCGGGTAAGACAAGATATATGAGAGCATGCAGAGCAAACATGCAGAGAACATAGAGCAATCAGGGACCCCAGAACAATGAATATAGTAAATTGTACAGTATACAGTATACATATGTATGCAGAAAAATTAGAAATTATCTATTATGTAGAAAAGTAGTGCCTTTGAGATGTTCGTTTGGCCAACAAGGCTTCAGGTGTTTAGCAACCTGTTTCTCCTTCCGTCCGGGGTCTGAAGTTGGGGCAAAAACTCCGCGGTTTGGAAGTTTGTGACTCTCTCGTCCTGGTTTTACGGCGATTTGTTTATCTTTCCTATGGGTGAATCGCCTTCTGAGGAAAACTTTTTTTTTGATGTGTTTTGTTTAATGTTCTATTTTTGCACCGGTTCCTTCATAAGCAAATCCAAGTATCTCTCTCGTTGTTTTGCAGGCCGCCACCAAACTTTGCAATGCCCGACTGATTCGTATCGACAACAACCGCACCTTGGTGAAATTGCTTCGTATCGGACGGGATGCTCTTGGCCGAAAGTGGGGGCTCTCACATGAATGACCTTTTTGCAGGGATAAGTACCTTCTCAGAAGGTACTTGGACCCACCAAACCTACACAACATTGTCTCCAATCTCCTTCTCAGAGGGTACTGTATGTGGTTCACTAGGGAAGTACTGTAATGATCCTAAGGCCCTAGAACGAACAGAACTCCACTTTCCTCATAGTGAGTGGGAGTGTCAAGTGTTCTTCTTGGAGGTGCTTAGAGCCCAGGTTTGGGGAACCCCACTTCGTGACACTGTCGTTGGAGCTCTCCCTAGCGCTCCTGTCCCACAGCCTTAGAAGGTGCTTTGACCCCCCAACCAGCACCGAAACGGAGGTCAGGACTGGAGACTGTTGGGCTGAGGCAACTACAACCCGACAGATCTGGGCCGCGTGGCGGCTCGCTTCTATGCTGGGACTCTCAGATGCTGTGCTACCATGTTTGCGCGAAGTTCTTTGGGTCGTTGTAGTTACCTGGAACAGAGGTCGTTGGGTTGTGTAAAGATGTGTACTGTATATAGCTTGGGTCTCGCCCGTAGAGCCGTCAGCAAACAAGCAAACTCATTATAGAGATGGAGATGTCGGCCTGCAACTGAACCATCATCGTTCCACTGGATCACTGGGGCCCAGCATAGGCGTCGGATAGACTGGTTTTTGGGGCTCACAGAGCTGCTTCCAACAGAGCTGCTGGTGCACAGAAGTGGACGATCCTTCCCACCCGACCGGAGGGGCGGTGATGATACCCCCCAGTTGCCGCGGTCAAAGGACCCAATTCTGGATCTGAATGTGCTCTACAGAAGAGGTCAAAGGGCCAGACATGTGAGGCCCCAGAACGCGGCCAAGACGGGCTCGTCCAACCTCTCGACTGATTGCAACTCCGCAATGGATTGGTTGCAAGTTGCCAGGTGGATTGGGAAACGGCGGAGTCCTTCAGCAAGGGCCTCGTTCAAGAGATGACCGACGACAGGCGCCGTGGTGACAGGGACAGGCGGCCGCGCGAGGGCAGAAAAGCGGGTACGAGTCAATGAATGTGTGCTGGAAATTTGAAACTAACTATAGATTCTAGATGATGGGGGTTAAGATGATTGGCAATCCTGCATAACAATCACGTTTTGATGTTGGCAATATTGAAGGGCCTTACGATTATGAGATTAATTGTTTCCTGCCGTGCCTACTGAGGTGTTCTTACTATACAAGATATGCTGGGCAACATAAATTTTGTTGTTGAGTGGGTTAACGTTCAAAGTAGGAAGTTGTTTGGATGCCTTTTGCGTTTCGTTTAATGGAGAAAGCATGTTTCTTTGTCGAGGCGAGCCAAATGAATTGCACGCTGCCAAGATCATGGGGAGGTGTATAATTCAGAGACCTAAAGAAAGGCTTTCTGAAAATCCTAGAGTCTCCAGATCATGGCACAGGTTCAATTCTTGACGCTTTTCAGTGTGGACATGGTTGAAGAAGCTGGCGCCGATGTCTTTCTCCCTGAAATGGCCATCCTTAGGGAGGAGATTCGGTGTGTCAGAGTATGTTGGGATGGGTCTACAGTTGAACGACCTTATGAGGAACATGGGGGGGGTTGGGGCACATCCAGAATTTTTTGATCCGAAGAATTCTGTGGCACCCAATTCTGTATTGACCAGTCCTCCAGTCATTTGTTGATTCACCCAATCCATCAAAAATCCCTCAAAATCCTCCCAATCATTCCAAGGCTGGCATGATTGGTCGCATCTAAATATGAGTGGCCCGGATCCTTTCGGGATTTTGGGATCACAACCGGTGACATTCTTGCCACTGGGATCTGAATCACAGGGGAGCCCCCTTTGCCAGCTTCTTCTAAAGTGACTCTTTGCAGGCTTAAGCGGTCTGCAGAACTTGGAAAGACCTTAGCACTCTTTCCATCCGCCCAGGATCTTAGCACTCTTTGGGAAAGCCCATGAGTTCTCTCAGCTCAAGGCAAACATGGGATCCGGGACAAGTGGCAGTGGGTGTATTTTTGCTTGGGACACTCTCGGCATGTGACTGGAAGAGCTGCTTGCTGAGTCCATATCTCTAGGCCTATAGGCCTCCAGTCGTACCTTCTGAGAAGGTGGGACTGGAGTGGGTTTGGATGGTCCAAATACCTTTTGAGGAGAAACTTGGAGATGTAGGGTATGTAACATAACTATTCCACACATCCATGATCTGGGTTGAGGCACTTGCTTTGGGGTCCTCGAGGCAACGCGTGTGGAGGATCCCGTAATTTGAGACTTTGGGCATGCATTTTGAAATGGGCTTTTGCACATGTTTCAAAGTAGGATTCTGGCAGCCATCGTTTCCTAAGACTTTAGACTACAAAACCAGGTCAAACAAACTCTTTACAGTCTTTGACGGCTAGGGATGACCCCAATTTCCCGTCAACGCTCTGTTCCCTCCCGTTTGGGTCTTTGGGCCCGTCCTGGAGCAAAGCTCTTTGGAGCTACAGGAGTCCCGTCTTTGGGATGGTCCCGTCTTTGGCAAAGGACGGAGTCACTGAGGTTGGACTGGAGGTTTGATTTTAATGCTTGGGCAACATCAACCATGTCATCACGGTGTTTGTCTCCCTGCTGGTTGGCTCCACCGTTTGTCTCTAAGTTCCCCATTCTACCCTCAACTGTCAGCACCCAGCCCCCTGACCCACACAACCGGTGCGGTCGTGTGTGGTCCACTGCCCAGAGCCGTGAAGACGAACAAGCAGAGCTGGGCACGTTGATGGAAGACCCACAGGCCGACCGAAGCTGATCGAAGAGCAAGTCCCTGGCCAGCGCAGACGTTGAATCTTTCTTCTTGTATAATCTTGAATTCAAGGGATGTATGATGTATATTATAATGTATTATATATATATATATATGTGTGTGTGTGTTTGGCATATCAATGGCCGATTATGGCACTTGGGACTAGGATACCACCCTGTACAAGGAATGTCATAGGAACGCCAAACACACTTTGACGCTGGTACATGTCCCTGATGCGTTTGGTTTGCGATGCGAAGATGCAGATCATCAACGTGAAGCAACACAGTTGTGGTTCAAGTCTTTACGAGTGGTAGGAGTAGTAGATGGTACGTAGCTTATAAGTTGTGCATATAATTAGGGCGATATTATGTGATATGTGTTATGTTAATTTTCCCTATTGTTGACATTCCCTGGGGGAATATGTGCTATTTGTCCCAGCTCCTGGACAGCGAATCCAAGGTGAGGGAAGCCCACTTTTGCTGGAGAAGAGTCCCTGGAAGACATCGCCGATGTCGTCGCCATTCCCAAACCCTCCATGGGACTGGAATATGGATTTCGGTGGTTGGAGTGGGTTTGGCGTCCAAGTACCTTGTGAGGAGATGGTTGGAGCCCCAGGGATTTGCAAGAATGCCTTCTCCGAGTCCCTGCCACCGCACTTGCTTGATGAGCCAGGGAATTCGCTCCAGAGTTAACATGATGGAACAAGACAAGGGCAACCGGGACCCTATCCCAGACACTCCATGTATGTACCTACATTGACCCTTTTCAACCCTGTCAAATGATCTCTCTGATTGATGCAGGGGCACGTTTCATGCATGGAGTGTTTGGGTATGCCACCCTCCCCCCAGCATGGAGCGCTTTCTTTAAGCGATCCCAAAGACTCCTTCAACTCGGGAGACGCGTTTTGAGACGCGATGCGAGTTCCACCGCGGAGCTGCAGGTGTGTCCTGTGAGGGTCCTTGGTGGCACCGATAACATCTATGGCAAGGTGGGGCTCCTTGAGGTGAACATGGGGTGCAACGAAGAGCGTTGATGGCGATGCTTTCGCAGACAATCCCTATGGATTCACATAGGCTTTTGAGAGGATGATTTGGAGACGCTTTGATGGCTTCTCAGACAATCCATGGGACTGGTGGAATAATTACTTACATTTGGGGTCATTGTCATGGGGGAAATGTATGTAACTGTTCCAGTCCCATGGATGGTTTGGCTTGGACAATGTCACCATGATACGATCAAAGCACCATTGTTGGATCCCTTTTTGGGGGGCAAAGCTATTGCCATTATAGAACCACATGCAAAACAAAAACCGCACTCGGATAAATACAGAAATTAATGTTTGTAGGCAATGGAACAATGCTTGATTTCCAGGGTCCATGAGTAACAAGCTCCTTCTTCAAGACCATGGTTTGGCTCCATCAAAGACAAACCAAGGCCCTATAATGAGACGGAAGCAAAGCCATGCATGAATATATAGCTGTCCATCAGGGCCAGTTCGCTGATGACAGTAATTACGTCGTTCTTGGTGCATTTTATATGGCCATGACCTTGGCCCGTTTCCACCGGCCAAGTGAAACAGCTGATGTCCCAGGTGGCCATTCTGCTGCAGGTTTATCTCAGCCGCCGCTACATCGACGTCCGGGGGCCCTCATGGCACCACGGCGGAGTGGTCGCTGGCCGAGCCGTACGGAATCACGACCCGGGTTCCAGCGGCCAGTAGAGTGAGTAGAGTGAGAACTGTTGAACCAGCTTGTCGACTGGATGAACCAGCTTGGCGGTGGTCTCTGGAGCATGTTCCCTCTGTGTCCCAACTGAGAATTCAAGAGGGCCTTTGTAAGTCTGAGGTCAGTCACTTGTACGTAGGCTCTTTTGTTACAGGGCCTTGACATGCTCATTTGGCTACTCCTCGAAAAGAGGGAAGAAGCAATACACAATAATAAACAAGAGCAGTTCCATGAGTCTCACACAAACACATGGAAGTGGAAAACCCTCCCTTTGTAGAGTAAAATGGTCTTCCAAGAGGCTATTGTGCTCTCCCACGATTGTTGATATTCCCAACTTCTCCCAACGATCTCAGCCCCTCCCTGTCCAGCGGTGCCATGAAACGCGCAGGGCTTCAGCCTGGTCAGCGATTGCAACTACGTCCTGCAAAACGCCTCCAGGTGCTGCCCGTGGGCAGGGTCCCCCCCATGGGCCAACGTGGATGGCCTGGACCATTGGAACTGGAAGCATGTTTTTGTTCTACAAACAGAGGGGGTTCAGCTCCACTTAACCATGATGATTTCAGGGTGTGTATAGCGTGTATAGTATCTCTCTCTATAATATATATATATATATATATACACCCCTCAAAACACCAGTGGTCAAATCAAGAGCATCTTCTACCTGTCATCGATCTCTGATCTTTGTAACTGTAGATGTCGGTTTTCCTCCGTCACGAGACCCGAGCCACCACCCAAAGTCATGGAACGTGAAGGTACGACCCTCAGGACATGTCGGAAAACGACCCTCCAATCCACCTCTTCCGATCTTCAAGCTATGGCCGCTATGGGTGAATCCATATGAATCCCATTCTGGTGATCAAAAAGTGATTTTGTGTTTCCTGGTTCCTGGTTGCAAATCCAAGGCTATTTGGAGGTGTAGGGATAGGCCTGGATTGCACCTCCATGGAATGGATCCCTTCTAGTGTGTTGAGACATTATTATAATCTTTGTATACATCTCACCCGCTGCAACAGAACGGAAGATGTGTATCAGCATGTGTGGAACATGGAGCTATACTCGGGAAAGTTCTTTGAGCTATACTCTAGTTCGCAACTCCCTCACCAAATATATAAGAAGTGTTCAATAACTGTTTCCTAAGGCCAGCATCATAGGGGATACACTTTGGAGAGTAGACAGGCTGACAGGAGAACTGAGCCGCTGTGGTTCTTGGAACGCGGGTGGTTGGTGGTGGGACTTGGGGAAGGTCTGCTCCGCCGATGTCCCAGGCTTTTCCGCGCTTTGTTCGAGATCACCATGCCCGGGTGCCAGAGTGACAGCGACCGGACCAGAGAGTTGTTTGACATGATAGGTTGCTGTAGAACCAACCCAGGATGAAGCCACACAGGTTCAATGACGTCTGACGTCAACGAGTCACAAGATGAATTACTCCAACCAAGGTCCATGGATCTTTGAAGCTGAACTTCACTAGGCCATACCAGACCACAAAACCATCCAATCCCTGGTTGTGGTGGCGACACCACACAGTGAGTTCATGGTTGCACTCGCCCACCCCACGTGAGGACCCGGGTGACGAACATGAGCGAGATGAGCGACCGGCTGCTGGAGTGGTGTTTGGACACCCGAGCGAGTTTGGGAGGACATGGGAGGATTCAATGGTCCCAGAAAAGACGAATGGGACTGGTATAGTTACATACATTGTAACGCATTGTGATACTCATGAAAATTACTCAATGTAGGCGAATGTAGGTATAACTATTCCACACAAGGATTGTCTGGGGGGGTTTCCAGCTGATCTTCAGTTTGTGATTTTTTTGTACGTCCTATATATACGTTGTCTTTTACAGCCCTGTTCGTGACCTGAAACCATCAAAAAGTGACTTTGAAGAACTAAAGTGTTCATGAAGAACAACGACAACATGTGTACTGTATTATTGTTTTAATGGTCGCTTTGGGCGGACATGCGAACGAATTGGTTGGAGGGGTCTTCTACCTTTTGTTAAAGTGGTAGGTCCTTTGCGTGAGGAGGAAATCCATCAAATGAATACTTTGACTTTACATTCCTGGGTCCAAATGAATGAAGGTGTCAATGCTCAGCAAAATGCGTCAGTGAGGTGTCCTGGGATCTCAATATGAAAACGGCATAGTGATTTGACATGGACGCCAAACATATATATACACGACAAATAAATCCTGCAGATGAACAAAAACGCCACACAGGTCTTGGCATCAATCCAGATGTTTATTCTGCTAGGGATCCGTCCTTGTGGCTCCTTGTTTTCTTTTGTTTAAAGAACCAACTTGCAAGCAATCATCACCGTTGGTCGCCTCCTGAACGTGGCGAGCGAAGGCAAGATGATTGACCAGAGGCTTTGGCAGAGCAGGGCGCCCCATGACAGCGTATTGGGCCCAAAGAACCTGCGTGGGACTGACAGAACAGGATAGAGTCTCTGGAAGGAATCGAATGGGATCTGGAATGTTGGGCCTCCCATGGATGGGGGGTGTTTCTTTTCTGGGTTGGTGTAGTTGGGTCCTCCGGAGACCCCCGTGGATCCCACATGGAATTGGTGCCTGACGAGCCATCCTCCAGTCAAACAGATTGGGCGAAGGAACATATGGAGTCCGGCCAAAAGTCCATAATCAAAAAACATCGATAAAAGGGTAAAGGGGTCGAAAGTAGCTTATGATGTTGTTTTTTCAATTAGATTATGTAGCGGGCCCCCAGCCAAACACACCTATTCTGCAGCTGGGCGCTAGGTTTGCGGTAGACTTGCCCTAGTGACGCTAGTGTTTGCCTTAGGACATGTTCAGAACGTCATCAGGTTTTTGAAAAGTGGCTGGCTGAAAAATGCGCTAGCCGCGCGCTAGCACTGCGCTAGATCCGCGCTAGCAAACATTGCCAGATTCCAGCATGTCTTTTGTTTCAAGCATGGATTGAAGCTCGGAGATCAGCTGAAAACAGTGCAGCGCTAGTGAAGCCTCTCTTACAATTTGGCGCCAATACTTGTTTGGTCCATGTTTCCTTCATTGACCTGTGTGTGTGTGTGTGTGTGCCAACAGTAAAGAATATGTAGCGGGCCCCCATGTGAACACGACTTTCAGCCATTTTTGGAAGAAGACATTTCGACCAGATCCCATATCCTCCAGCACCAAGGGAAGTGAGTGAACATTGCTGACCAAAAAAGGCACTTGAAAGATAGATTGCTCCAAAAAATCCAAAAGAATCCAAAAGATCTTCCTGATAAAACCAAACTCGCCAGTTGCAGCTTCACTCCCTGTCCGGTGCTCCACCAACCAGCCGGTCGATGGCTCCGTCGAGTGAGGTCAACATGTGCTTCGGCACTTCTGCTATCCACCTGGAAGCTCCAGTAGCAACAAGGCGTCGCGCGAACCGCGCGCGGTGGGCACGTTGCGTGTTGGGCACGCGCGTCGCGCCTTAGAAGAAGGGAAGGATTCGATGCCGCACCGAGTTTGGCCCAGCTGACAACCGAGTTTGGGAGGTTTGGGAGGTTGTTGGGAGCCCATCTCCGGGTCAATGATGAATTAAGAGAGGATACGGGTGCCTACAGCCCACTTCGTCATGTCATGTGGTTTGTTTATGTTGGGTGTCGCCTGTATAGCTGACTATACCTGAACCCAACTTCAAGTACCGAAAATGGGACATGACAACAAAAGTCAGGTCCGGGTGCCGAGGGTCACTGGGGTCACGAGTCATAGGACCGACGGTCCTGTCGGTCGACCGTCCCGACCGTCCTGACGCGAGGGCGGGAAGAGCCTGGACGACGGGCCCAAGGGCGGCGTGTTGAAGGAGCAGATCGTGAAGAAGCTCGAGGAGTGGAGATCGATCGGAGCAGGAACGGAATTGGCACCCCACAGATGGCAGAGGTAGTGGAGATCGGCGGATTGACAGAGCTGCGCCCCACTGGCAGCAGAAGCAGAGGTGAAATATATTTGAGATATTTTGATGTGGGTCCCTATTAGGTGGGGTCTAAATGGACGTGTGCCTATGCTCAATGTAGGGGCTAAACATGACTCCCGACATGGAACTGCTGGTAAGCAGATGTTGGTCATAATTTAATATAGTTTATATACCCATCCATTTGATTGATGAGGGTGCTCTTCATGCTGCTGTTGAAAGCAATGGCAGAGCGACCACTATACGTAGGGAAATGCAGGTAGTCTTGAGATATTGGTAGGTGTGCACAAACACACACGTTGATTTCGGTATTTAATTGACTTTAGTGCAAGAGAATTCAACACTCTAGGAAAGATTTGTTACCTGCAGAGTGCATTCCCTTTTTCAATTCAACGTGAAGTGGAATAAATACACACAGACATATATGCATTCAACAGAGCTAAGGGTAAACAGCAAAGCATCAAGGAGTGCAGCGTCGATGCCCAGGATGCCAATTTCGACTATTGGACCATCATCAACATGACGGTGCGGGCGTCAATGGTTTAGGGGTGACATGTGGGGCCTTTTGGGATGCAAGGCACGTATCCACTGTGCAGTCCAGCTGAGGGAACCCTGCAGTAGATTCCAGGCTGTGAGGATCAACATTTGTTGTCCAACAAGTTACACGTTTTGTCATGTAGACTCTTGATTAACAAAGCTTCCCTACCAGGAGGTTTTGGATACATGCTCAATATTGTTCAATCAACATTGTTCAATCATGTTCATCTAGAGGGTTTCATTAGTACTCACTCTCAGCATATTCTCTGCATTATTCATTCCTTACGGGTTGTGCAAGCTTCCTGTCAAGCGCCAACCATTCGTGCTGCACTGACAGTGACTCAGTTTGCGGAGATACTGTGGAAGGAAGAAATCCACTACTGAACTGCATGATTTCCAACAAAATACTCCAATGCTCTTTGATGCTCTTTGAATATGTTTGAGCCCTCCTTTTACAAGGTCAGTTCTTAATCTAGCTGCCAACACCTTCCAAAACATGTCCACTGTCGTCTCTATCTAAATACAACGTACCACCAGATTCACCAAAGACATAGTTCATACTTGCTCACAGAAGGTCAGGTCAAAACATGTGGTTTTCTTCGTGCTTCAACTCTCAGGTGGAGATCACCAATGTGTCTGCAGGTTTTGTGATCATTTTCCTCCACAGTGAGCTCCCTTCACCTCCAGAGCCGAAAACCCACCCACCGACTCGACCCTCCCACCCCACGGCTCCGCAAGGTGAGTGAACTGACCAACATCACCAGGAGTAAGGACTGGGGCAAGGCAGTGGACAAGTACATGAGGCGTGTCGCGACCTGACCTCTTTTTGGCTTCGGGCAGTGGGTAGGGCCCTCCGCACCGGGACCATGGGAGGGGTCGGACTCTGAGTCTCTCCATTGAAGTGCAGGGGTGCCGGACCTGATCGGTTTTGCTATTTGTTTGTGTTTGTCCACTGAGTCCACCAAGCTGGATGCTTTACTCAGCCTCTCCTTGGGCCTGGCCTTCCGGCTGACGGAGGTGTCGGTGGAGTGTCTCCGGGTGTTGGAGACCTGAGTCGACGAATGAGCCGTATGATCTATGTTCCCGCTCCACCGTTCACTCCAGAAAGTCTCCGCCTTCAAGACGGACCATGACTTACTTGGAGTCTCAGTGAGTACCTCGGACCATGGGTTCAAGTGTGTATCATATGTTGTACCAGGACCCTCCTGTTGGGGTGCCCTGTTTGGATGCCTATAGGTATTGTGGGGTAGTCCATTGGACACCCCGACAGGAGGGTCCTGGTACCTGTTGTTACACCTCTTTTTCGGAACAATGTCCCATTGTTCCAAGAGACGACCGGTCCGTCGCGAGACAACAAAAGGGGTGGTCTTTAGATGTTTTTAGTGAGTATAGATGGGCACATGGAACTGCTGGTCTTCCATGGAACTGCTGGTCTTGACATTGTGCGAGACGCATCGACGTCTTATTAGACGTCCGAGGCCTTTTCAGCGGCGACGTCCGGGTCTGCGCTTTCTGTGTCCAACGGCGCAACAATCAGTGGACCAAACAGCAGCAGTGACTGTGGGCCGTGTTCATTTTGAACTGTTTGGGATGCTACCTCTGACGGTGCACGCGGTGTGGACGTCTTGAAGCACACCCCTCCACGAGGACCAATGGATGTTTGCATGATCTGGACCAATGCCTCCACGGTGCGGGTCTCCAGACCTCAATTTCCAGTTTTCCAGGTTCCTGGATGCCCTTGAGGTGTGTGTGTATCGTCAGCCAGTTGTTTTTCCCAGTTCGGGTCCAGGTATCTCCTGGACCCGTTCTTCGGGGTTTTTCATATGGAGAACCCCCCAATACCCGAAAAAGCCTCTGTGAACCGAACCCCGCGGGGGTCGTTGTTGGGGGTCAATCTCCCATCTACTGAGCTACACGGTCGCACGCGCAGTGGAGGCCTCCATTGCTTCTTCTCCTCGCACGTGGCCAACGCTCCACTTCTTTCTTCGCTTCCTCTCCGTTTCGATCCTCGGTCGAGGCGCGTGCCCAACTTGATTCTGGATGCCAAGATTCAGCCGATTACCTCGACCATCATGAGGCGGCCGGCCGAGCGCCGGTTTTGAGCTCGGAACCGAAAGAAAGGGGAGCCTTGAAGAACGGGGGGCTCCCTTGAGCTGTAAAAGCATGTGTTTCCAAGAAAGGTGATGGATGTGGTCCAGAGATGAGGTCTGTGGCGCACTGTCTACATGTTGTGCATATCAAAAGCCAAAACACGGCCCTGCATGCAGGATATGGGCAAGCACACCAGCTCCAGCATCAACACAAACCAATAAACAACTTGTGGAGGGACCCAAGCAACGGATTCGCTGCCGGGTACAGGAGAATTATTCTGCAAATCCCAAGGGGATACGTTCGAATGCGCTGGGTGTCCGGTGTCAAAGGAGGAATAAACGAACGACCCCTGGCTGAAGCCAATGAGAGCGGTCTTTGGTTCAGTGTTGGAAGGCGTTTGGAGATGTGAGATGCCCGGGTTGACATGCTTGAAATCGGGGAGCCAAGAATTTGGTCTTGTGGACGGGTTCATTATTCCATAATTATTCCCAACAGCTTAGTGCTAGGGCCATTCTTTCAGTACAAACTCAGTGTTGTAGGGGGAACTCTGAAGGTGTAGGGACATTGCCCGCAGTTTTTTGGTGGTGTTTTGTGGGATGACTGTAGCTCCGGGCCCCACCCACGAAGCTAGGGTAGGTCGTGAATCATCGGCAGAGTGAGCTTTTTCCCAGAATTGGTTTCAGGGAAAACCTATAGGAAACCCCCAGTTTGGAGCGGTGAAAACACGGGTAGTTTCCTGTCCCTGGGGATCCAAGTACCTCCTCAGAAGGTATTTGGACCCTCCAAACCTACATAACAATGTCTCCAATCACCTTGTTAGAAGGTACTCGGGTCCCTAGGGTGTAGATGTTCTCTTAGACCAATTCATTGAGTTTTACCACATGCATCGCCCGGCCAGGATCACATTGACTATCAAGCCGGACTTCGATTGGAGTGATCGTTGGTCTGGGCAGGGTGTCCCAGTCAGTCGATCCAACGTTCACCAAAGGAGAAGCACTCCTGGGACTCCTGGTGCAGGATGACAGATCTAGAATCATCTAGACTCTATAGGCAGGGCCTCGTTGGGCCCTGTTTCTGTTTGCGTGGGGGGATGTTGATATCGCGGATGTGTTACGAAAGCCAGCCTTCGTAGAAGGCGCTAGCGGAGTTGTGTTTGGCGAACGAAGTGAGTAGTTAGGGGGTCTGGGGGGGTGGCCGGGGAAAGGTACACGTAAACTCGGCACTTGCTGGGGGAGGAGGGTGCGTCGAGGGAAGGTTTTTTGAGGTTGTGTCGGAGGTGATTTTTGAGGGGTGGTGATGCAAGAAATGCAATCTGCATCATTTGCATCATCTGAATGGAAAGGTGTAGTTGGCACCTTGCCAGGTATAGAGACCCAGGGTAGCTA